TGTAAACTATCCTTTTGCTGGGCAAGAGATTGCGACTCCCTGAAAGAATCATGATGACTGTACATGGACAAGAGGCCCCTCCTAAAAAGACCCATTTCCGCTACAACAAGGTGGATGTTTGGACGGAGTTTCAGTGTTTTTCGTATTTGCAAGGAACGTTTTCCGCTGTCCTGGGTCCGCGCGCGAGCGCCCTCCTCTACGGTAGAGTGTGCGCCAACAAGGCGCGCCCGCGCGCGGACCCAGGGTGTTACTGCAAGGAGTCGCCAACCGGACAGAGTTGACAAAATCGCTTTCATGCAACTTCTGAAGTTTTCACTCCTAATTCTTGGCTGCTTTGCACCCTTGTTATACCGCAGCCGTGCCGCTCGTGACAAAATAACGCTGGCTTTCGTTTTGCAGCTTCTCAGGTTTGCGTGTAGCCAATGCGCCAGGATTGGTCCAATTCGAGAGGTCCCGCAACCAATGTAACTGTGAGTCGAAAAAACGATAGAGCCTTGAGCCTTGCAATGTCTGTTATACCATATGAAAGAGGGTCATCCGCTTTTGCGCAACAGATCTGCAACAGATCTGCACGCATTGCCCTATGGGCGGGTATGGTAGGGAAGATGAACATTAGGTGTGCCCGTGTGCAATGTACACGAAATAGCACGTACGCTATGGCAGATCACGAGCCATGTGCACCTAAACATACGAGAAACTATGTGCATGAACAACAGAACCTAATGACGAAGCATTTGTATGCATTGGTAGGCATATTTATTTACAGCATATTCCGTGCGAAGGCGGGATAGCTATTTAAAAAGAACAGCTGACAGAGGCCATTTGGCGGACTTTCTCACGTTTGGGGCTCCAGGTTTTGACCCACAGCCAGGTGTTAGGGGATGATCCTGCAAGGTTGGGTCTGTCCGAACTTACCAGTAACAGTCGGTAAACAAGAACATCACAATTTTTGAACAAGGCCTGCAACCTAGCCATCATCATCCACGGTTACTTCTAGTAGGATGGACCCAAATCCAAGGTTGATCAATTTCTTTTTGATTCTTTCGTGGTTCAGAGGCTTGGGTGGTGCTTTCTTGCTGGTGGCAATGCAAGCCATCTTATAGATGGTCAACTGTCAGCAAGCACTGTTGCGTCTTTGAGTGTGTATGATCAAGGGGTCGAGGAGTAACGGTGGAATATTGTTGACTCCGGATTGTTTTTGTCCGGCTCACGTTTGAAGACATTTTTTGTTGTCAATGCTTGGCATTGTTTTTTCCACCTGGGGTTTGACTGACCATGGCTCAAGCCTACACCTCTCGATTCTGAAGGCGCAGCAATGCAGGTGACGGCTGTGTCTGGCAACACGATTGCTCGGCTTGATAAGGATGAGCTGCATTACATGGTGGAAAGTGGGCAATCTGTTCGAGACCTCAAGCGACGTCTTTCAGCTCAGGTTGGGTGCTCAAGGTTTCAGCAAAGACTCTTCAGTGACGAAATGGGCGAATTGGAGGATGACTTGCCTCTACGAACGCTATCAAGTGTCCAGCTGGTAATTCTGCCCTTGTGTGCCCCTGATGAGACCATGGACGAAGAACTGCTCACAAGCTGCAAGCAGAATAATGTGGCTCACATCGAAAACCTACTTCAAAAGCCACTGGACCCGAACGGGAAAGGTTTGAGTTTGGTTCGTGCTGCCCGGGAAGGCCTCTGGGAAGTTGTGCGATTGTTGCTCGATGCTGGAGTTGACAAAGATGCAGCAGGTACAGATGGCTGGACGGCTTTGCACATTGCAGCCCAGAAATGCCACTTGGAAGTTGTGCCATGGTTGCTCGAGGCTGGAGCTGACAAAGATGCAGCATCGGCAAATGGATCAACGGCTTTGCAATTTGCAGCCCGGGAAGGCCACTTAGAA